GAAAAAAAAACTAGTTGCAAACATGAAAATGGACTTTTAAAAGAGCATGGGCCTTGCCTCCCTGGCTGGGGCCAGGCCCTCTCTGCGTGTCCTGCAGAAAAAAGGGAAGACTGGACCAAGACTGGTGGGTGACAGCCTTCTCCCAGGATCGTGTTTTCTAGATGGAATGGCCAATGATTTGCTTGAGCTGGAACCTGGCCTGGGCAGGTATGGTGAAAAGGGGTGGACTGTGGGGTCCAGAGACCTGGGTTCCAGTCCTGGTAACACCAACTGCAGCCACGGTAACTGTGACAGGTGCAGTGTTCTGAGATTAGCTCCCCCCACCCATCTGTAGGAGTCACATCTGCTGCACAAGAGCGACACTCTGATGCACACCCCCCACCCGTGGGAGGCACTCAGGAAGTGGTGGGATCCTCTGAGCCTCCAATCTGTTTTGTTATGACAACGACGTGGGTTGACCTTTTCCCAAGGGGCAACATCGAGGTGCCAGGCTGTGAATGAGATCAACTGAAATTTTAGATCCTGGCCCTTTTGGTATTCACTCAAGGAATATTTCTGAGCATCTGCTGTGTGGCTACTCCGGGCCAAGCCCTGGACTGGTGGCTGGGAACACAGTGAAGCAGCCCCTGTCGTTAGGAGACAGGTCGCAAACCAGCAACAGATAACCAGCCATGCCTGGGGCTCTGGAGGGGCTGGGAGAAGCCCTAGGGTCAAGGGGCTGCTCCCAGAGTTCCTCAGGAATGGACTCTCCCAGAAGCTAGCATCAGGCCTTGACTGGCCAGGAGGAGAGCCGCCAAGGTCAGGAGCAAGCTGTTCTGAGCAGAGGAGGCAACAACGCACTGCTTGCAGATCCCAAATGAGGCCCAGAAGGCGAGGCAGAGCCTCAGCCGGGCAGCAGGATGTGGGGCTGGGCTCGGATCTCCCTGGCCTTGCAGCCATGAGGCCATAGTTATGACCCAAATTTTTATTCTTGGAACAAGGAGAAGGTAAAGAAGAGCTTACTCAGAGTGAGCAGCTGGCCCCAGTTTGTGTGCATATTTATACACTGGGGGTGTGCAGTGGGCAGCACAGACGATATAAACCATATTTATGGTTTATAATGGGCATTATCCCAGGGAAATTGTTAAGCTCACCTCCCCTCTCTCTCCGAAGGGTCTTTGATAAATTACATAGTCACTGCAATATCAGGGAATTTTGCAAATGGAAATGCCTAGAAGAGCTGGGAGGCTGTAGCAGCCACTGCAGGTGCCACCTGTAACCCTGGCTCAAAGGCCCTGACAAGAGGGACCTCAGCTTTCTGCATGGGCCACTTTGGACTTGCAATGCCCAGGGAGAGCCCTGCTCTGCTCAAGGTCTAAGGACGATGTCCACATGGAAGTTTCCTCTCTCCTGCCTCCGGTCCCCATCCCTTTACAGCCTGCTAACCTTGTGAAGAAAAGCCATTGAAAACCCCCTGGAAGCTGTGGGTACAAGACCATTTAGCACTTAAATAAACGCAAGTTCTAGAACATCCACAGCCAAAATGAAAGTAAACAGAGATGGAATGTGAGCCGTGACTTTGCTTGCCTAGTAGTTTGCAAAGCTTGTAAACAAAGTGTCCTCTCAGATTCAGAGCTGGGGCCCGGGAGGTGGGTACCAATGAATCAGCCCCCAACTCCGTGACACGTGGAGGGGTGTAGACCTGGTTGGCAGAGCCCTGGGGGAGACTCCGCTGACTGACCATCCAGTCCGTATCTGGAGTTCACCTGCGGCTGAAATGAAAAGCTGATCCCTGGGATGGAGGACTTGGAACTTCACATCACTGTCAACATGAAGCTTGACATCCCGGTATTTAGGGGGAAGTCACAACCCAGCTTGTGTGCTAAGAGCTGAGCACAACCAGCTGGTCCCGTCCTTCCAGCCCCCTCCCAGAGGAGGGTCACTTTCCTTCCTATGGCGGTTTTTAGGGAAGAACTTATATCATCACATTCGCTCCCTGAGGGGCAGGGTTCATGCCTCTTTCTTTCCTCTTGCAACATCCTCGAATCTACTTTTTGGCCCAGGACGTGGTAGGTGCTTGTTAAATATCTGTCACATGAGTGAATACGCACACACAGGCCAGTGTTCACCACAGCAGTGGCTTCCGGGGGTCTTTCCAGGCCTTCGACGGACCAAAAAGGGAGCGGGGTCAGGAGGCAGGTGGGGCTTCAGCTTCAGCCTCAGCCACTCACAGGCATGTGGCTGTGTGGGTCGTGTCCTTTATTTTTGTGTTCTCATCTCAAATCTCCTCTAAGGCAAAGGGAAAGAGGCACCTGGAAGTTTCGCTGCCAGCCTGCAGCGATTCCCACCAGGCCTGCGGGGGGAGCTCCACAGGACGGGGCAGGACCACAGGGAGGAAACGGACCTGAACTTCCACTCAGAAAGTGGGCAGGCCAGCAGAGTGGATCAGGAGGGATGGTGAGCAAGTGTGGAGTCAGAGGAAAAGGTCAGCAGGCTGTGTCCCCACATAAGGAAGATGAGTGTGCGAACTCGGAGCTAGAGGTTAACATAAATATGTGAGTAGCCCGCTATAGTGCACTAGGGAACAGAGGGGCCTGTGGCCAAGTGGAGAGGACACTCAGGCTCTGCTTGAATCTGGACTGCAAGATTTAAAACATTTGCCCCACCAAACACAACAGAACACCCACGGCCTGCAGGCTGAGCCCGTGTTATAAGCGGGTCTTTTTATCTGATACTTGGGCATCTGGGGCCTTGCTGACCCCAGAGGGGCTGTCCCTCCTGGGGCTGGCTGCTTCCTCCGCAGGCACAGCCAACCCAGAGCATATAACCTTTATGTGACACCTCCCTACCAGGCTCTCCTGCTCTGGGCCCCTATTCACCTGCCCTAATCACCCCAGGGCCAGGTACCAGACAAATGGGGACAATCCAAACATCCCAGAGTCCAGTGAAATGATGCAAACTAGCCAGTCAGCCTGCTGACCATCTTGCCTCTGCCAACAAAACCACAATGAAGGCTCCCGCTCACGATTTGCCCTTCTGCCTTCTCACAGACCCTGGTGCACTCCCGTGTGACCCTGCCCAACCTAGTTAGTGTGCCTTCTCCTCTTCAGAACCGTAGCAGACTCTTTTCAGTGGAAAACGTCTCCTGAGCTGTTGGCTTTACTAGACCTGATCAATAATAAAAACCACTATCCCTCACCCAGTGCAGACCCAATGTAAAGACGGATGGATGGATGGATGGATGAGAGAACAGATGGACAGACAGAAAGATGGAAGTGAAGGGCTGGAGAGAGGCGTTCATCTGGCCGCAGGGATTCCCTGTGCTTCTTCCGTTTTCCTTTTGCGACTGTGTCAGGACTCTGAACTCTGAACGTGCCTCAGTTCCGTGAGTGGCACAGACGCAGGAGCTCGGGCAGGAGCAAGTCAGGGAGGGGTGGCATATCTTTGGTAGACAACCTGCTGGCTGTTTCCTTTACCTAGGGCCTTATAAAAAGATCATCATCTAAAAGGGCCCCTGAACCCAGTGGTGAAAGGGGGAAACTCGGAGCGAAGCCTCCAGCCCACCTCCCTTCCCAGCCCAAAGGGGGCCACCCGCAGCCACACGTCGCTCTGCACCTGTGGGATGCCCCGCGCACATCCGCATCCCGTACACTCTGCCCGATCCAGAGGAAGCCGAGCTGCAGAAGCCGTGTTGTTTCGCATCTTCACTCTGAGCATGCACCCATCTATTCTGCTTGGCTGTGACCATATTTCTCTGGTCCAGGAGCCTTGGGTGTCCTTCTCAGCATCCCTGTCTCATGCCCAGGTCCTCAGACAGGCAGAGAAGGCAGAGGCAGGAGTCCTGTCTGGGAAGCTCTGAGGCAGCGGAGACAATGTTTGCTACTTCTGACGGACAGTCGGTGGGGTTACTTGGTCCTCAGTGGTGAATGTTTCCCAGAGGCCATCCTCCCCCCAGGCCCAAGATGGAAGGACTGCACCTAACCATAGTGGACGGATGACCCGGCTAGGGAATGTGAGGGACTGTCTGTTGGAAGGTCATCAGTAGGGAGGCTACAAACTGGCTTATCCAGAACAGAACCAGTTCATGGTTTATAATGGGCATTATCCCAGGGAGATTATAGAACTCACCTCCCCTCTCTCTCCAAAAGGTCCTGTTTGATAAATTATACAGTCACCGCAATATCAGGGAATTTTGCAAATGGAAATGCCTAGAAGGCTTACAAGCAACCGAGGCTGGTTACTTTGTACAAATCAGAGTTTGAGGCTTGGCAAACACGTTGGGGAAATAGCAGCAGGCCCTGCAGATGGCAGGGACCTTAAGTAAAGGGAACCGAGCCTGGCTTGGACCTGGTGGGCTCCACTGTAGAGGAGGAATTCTCTGGGGTGGCAGGGAACACTGGGCCCACCATGCTCCATTCACAGCCTCTCCAACAAGAAAAGCAGGCTCGGAGCAGCACCTCTACTCCCTGCCTGAGGTCTCAAGCCAGAGGAAAAAAGTCCAGCAAAGGCAGAGGAGAAAGATTGTGATTTGTCCCCACACGGGCTCTGGGAGAAGGGGTATATTCCTACCAACTCCATGATCAGGACCCGTCTATGCCATAGTCCTGTTCACCACCACCTGGGGTTGGTAAGGGCACCCTGAACAATTTCCCATTTGTCTTTTTTTCCTTCCTGGTTAAGTGAGATCTTATTTCTGTTGCGCTGAACTATTTATCTGTGTGGCATGAAATGTCACGGATTGCGAGCAAAACCAGGACCAACCCACGCACAAGAAATAATAACCCTTTGCTGCTGCTCACACGCAACTCCCCAAATCTTTAGGCTGTCAGCAACTCATTTTCTTTGTCCAGCACTGAACTTGCTCTCAAGAAGAACTGAACTCAAAAGACAACTGACAGACAACAGCCTTGGGAGCCTGATGTCACATGAATTCATGCTCGAGTTAATTTGCAAGTGAATCTGGTGACACACACAATCCGTTGCCACAGAGGCCGGGCAAAGACTTACAAGGTAAAAGTGGCTGTAGGTTTCACCTTGTGGCCTCACGTGAAGTTTAATCAAGCTATTAAATGTCCCAAGCGTCCAGTGTGGAAGGAACCTCTGTTTGCTTGTTTTGTGAACTGAAACTTCAAAGCTATTTTTATGTAAGATTAGCCATCATGCAAAACTTACTGGTCAAGCAGTTAATAAAATACACACACCCCATTGAAGGGTTTTGTACATCTCGGTCCTTGCACATAACAAAGCAATGATAACCCCACACAGTCCTGAGAGCAAGCCCCTTTGCTTGGTGAGGGCGGTAGTCCTGGCTTTTCGGGGCTCATGTGTTATAAATTCTGGAAGCTCGTTTAGCTGCAGTTTGAGCATCGGGTTCATCTTCCTCCTCTTCCTCGGTTCGTTTGTATTTCAAAAACAAGTCAGACTTTAAGAAGCGACTGTAGCTGTCGTACTTCATGAGGTTGAAGATCTGAGGAGGAAAGAGAAAGAGTCTGAAGGCTGCAGCTAATCCAGGCCATGAATCATCCTATCAAATATTTATTAAATACCTACCATGTGCCAAAGAATACACAAAGAAAGCTAAAGTAAGGCATGCGCTAGATGAGGCAAATTTCCTGGTCATTATGCAATCATTTCAATGGAACATACAGCTTAGAGAGTCACATGAACAAATATGTCTTTATTTTGCACGGCAGAACAGATTCACGCTGCACTGATTCATACCTTCGTATGAAAGGGCCCTTTAAGAATTGCCACTATATCTGGAGAGATAATACAGGGATGCATTTCTCTAAGAGCTGGAGGTAGCAGAACAGAACTCCCAGCAACCAATCCCAGGCTGCCTGTCCTCCTCCTCACCTGCAGCGTGGGTAGGGAAGGAAAGCAAATCCTTTTCTTCTGTATGGACAATCTCTTTTTAAGAAAGCCCTCGCCCTTTATTTCCCTCCCTCACCTGTCAATTTTCAGGACATCTGAGGTCTAAACATCCACAGTGCACCCAAGGTGCGTTCTCTTTCAGCACAAACACAGGCTCCAACAAGCAGAAAGTTTCAGAAGAGCCTAGAAGGTTGCTCACCGTCAGGCGGGGTTGTCAAGTGAGTGGTAAAATCCTGACATCTTTTAAACCCACCCTCGGTCAACACAGAGTTTTGTAAACTAAATATCAGATGGATTCTAAGACCTCAGAACATCGACTTGGGGGATGGGCAATGCCTTTGGAAACAACTGGAACCTTCAGCGTTCATACCTTCATTTTCCAAAGTTGGCTGCAACTGCAGGAGAACCCAACCACCCAGGTCATGCTGCAGTAAGTCCAGCCCACGGCCAGGAAGGATTCAAGGAAGCTGGGTGCTCTTTAAACTGCCCTTCCAGCCTTGCCCAAGCTCTTTAGAGCACTGATCTATTTTGAAGCAATCTTGTAATCCTATGTGTGATTATGATTTGCTGAGGTTTGGAGAAACTATTTTTTAAAATCCCAGAAGATGCAAAAATCCTAGCCAGGGATGAGGCTTGAGATGAGGAAGGCTATTACCCTTTCATGGCCTCCCACAAACGTGCAAAGCAGGTGTCACTGTCCCTCACCACCTGCCCTGTTCAGCCTTGCTGGGCACAGGGTCCCCAGAGGGACCTTCTAGATACCTATAAGTTGAAAGTCCAGAACAGATGTTCAAAGTGTGACTAAAGGAACTGGCTTTGTGAGGCCCCCGGGGCATGCAGCCTGTATCCCCTCACGCCCCCAGATCCACAGCGAATGGGACCCACCACTCAGGGCAGGATGCGGTGTGACCTCCTCTCCCACACACGAAGTCTCCGTGTGTGGGAGAGGAACATCCTGTTTGTCTGTAGTGGCTCTGAGGCTCAGACTTCAAAGGAGAACAGAAAAAGGGCTGCTCTGGAGGCACCCAGGGCTGGAGGGCAGGGAGGCAGGAGGCTGCCTGGCTGAGAGGGTGCTCAGATGCTGCAACGGCCACCAGGAGATCCCAAGAGGCCGCAGGCCCCTCTCGCCAGCCCTCCAGGATGCCAGCTCAGCAGGAAGGGGCAGGAACTATGTCAAAAGGGCCTGAGGGCCACTCCCTGCTGCGGCAGGTGTGAAATGCCCCAGCAAGCCCAGAAGTCCTTCAGGCTGAGGCTACCTGCCCCGGGGCCTCCCCACCTCCCAGTGCCACAGACTCACCAGGAAGCAGCTGTGGCCATGAGGCCTAGACAGATTTTAAAAAGGAAAGGATGTGGCTTCCACTGGCCTCATCCTTCTGGCTGTGAGCAGCCTGATGGCACTACATGGGGTCCAGAGCCAGCTTCCCACTCCCACCAGCAATGGGCCTCCCAGGCATGGGCTTAGGAGCTTCCCACTCCCACCACAGAGCTCCTTGTGGACTCAGCAAGACAGCCAAGAGGACACAGAGGCGCCTAAAAATCAATCCCAAGAAAAGGCAGTATACCCAGCCACAGACCACGTTGTTATTTATCTTAGGACAAATGGCCATGAAGGGATCCAATAAATGTTTTTCCACGAGTGATCAGAAACCACCCAGTGTGCACAGCAGAGGCTGATGAAGTGAACCAGGCCAGGACCAACACTACCAAGACGTGACCACCGCCAGGCAATGGACCGTGCGTTCTCTCAGACATTCTCAAGGACCTTGATTTTACGGAGAAGGAAATGGGGGCTTGGGGCTCAGTACTTTGCCTGATGGTGAATGTATGGGTCAGCTCTGGCTGCTATAACAAGTACTACACACAGTCTCTCACAGTTCTGAAGGCCAGAAGTCCAAATGCCAACAGGGATGGTTTCTTCTGAAGCTTCTCTCCCGGGTTGTAGATGGTCATCTTTTCTCCGTCCTCACATGGTCATCCCCCTGTATGTGTCTGGGTCTGAATCTCCTCTTCTTATAAACACTCAAGTCAGGTTGGATTAGGGTCCACTTCAATGACCTCATTTAACTTAATTACACCCACTTATGGGCCATCTCCAAATACAGTCACATTCTAAAGTAATGGGGGATAGGACTTCAACATATGAACTGGTGGTGGTGGGGCCACATTTCAACAGTAAGCAAGGGATGTGAGGGGTGCCAACTCTAGCTGGGTAGCTCCCCAGCCCACACCACCAGGCACTGGCCACTCCCATGGCAGAATACACAGTCATCAAAAATAAGGTCTGAAAAGAATTGAGCTTGCAAAACTACCCATGAGTGTTAATTGACTGAATATTAAATACCAATGACATTAAATCTAAAAACAATGACCCCAGGTATGTTCAACTGTGTGTTCATGTGCATAAGAGGAAAATAAATATCTCTAAAGGTCAGTAGCTGGTTGAAGAATGTCCCTCCAATGTATGTCCACCTGGAATCTCAAAATGTGACTTTATTTGGAAATAGGGCTGGTAAAGGATGCCATGATAAAGCCGCGTTGCATTTAGGGTGGGTCCCCATCCAAGGACTGGTGTCCTCTTCAGAAAAGGACACACTGAGACACACAGGGAGGTGACCATGTGAAGACAGGTGGAGATCTGTGTGCTGGCAGCCACGGCGATCTGCAAGCTGGAAGACACAAGGAAGGCCCCTCAGAAGGAGCACAGCCCTGACGACACCTTGACTTCAGATTTCCAGCCTCCTGACCTGGAAGAAGTTGCTGCTGTTTTAAGCCACTCAGGTTGTGGTCACGTGTTACCACACCCTAGGACACTAGTAACATCAGACCCATCTCATCCCAGTCCTGCTCAGACACAGAAAAAAGCTGCCCTCGGGGTCTCAGATGGTTCTACCAAACCAGGACTCTGGTGGGGAGCTGGCTTCCCTGGGTGAACTGTGACCAGCACCTAAACACGATAAGAATCCTTCAACTGTCTGCAGGGAAGAAAATGGAGACCAGTCTGGCCTGAGACTCAAGGTGGGCAGAAGGCATCGGAGTGGAGTCAGAGCAGATGATGGGTCCCAGGGACAGGCAGCCAGTGAAGCAGAAAACTCAAGTTGGCAGCTGAGTTGCTCTCTGCATCTCCCCCGCCCCTGCCTGCCCCATGCCCTGGCCAACACAGCTGTGGCTTAAAGGTTCCAAATTCTGGCAGCTCCACATCTGTGAGCCGCATGCCTACAGTGTAATCTTGAGCAGCACGGCCTTGGGATCCAGTCCTGCAGGCGGCTGGAGGTGGGCCTGGGAGGGGAGAGAGAGTTGCCCAAGGGCAACTCTTCCAGCACAGGGTCCTTATCCCACCAGGTGCCACACCCACCCCAATCTCAGCACAGTGCATCTTGGACTATTCCAAATGGACTGCGCCAGGAAAGGACTTGACCACAGAAGCACCCCACCCTCCCCCACCCCTGTCAACAGAGAACGGGGCTCAGCGTTCGTTCCATCACTGCTCTGATTCACTGTATGTCAAGCCTAATAAATATTTTAAGACCTCTCAGAAGACAAGCACATTAGAGGACCTAAATGAAAAATGCATCTCCCTTCTCTTCAAAACCCTCTGCCAGGTTACTTCAACCCACACAAGGAAAAAAAAAATAATCCTTCAATGCACAAAGTTTTTTTTTTTAAGAAGGATTTCATATTTGCTTCAAAAATTTGGTCTAGTTTTTGTATGCAAATTAAGCAGTTAAAGTTCTAGAATGTATCCTCTCTCCCCCATACCAAGACTACAGACTTACTTTCCCAGCCAAGTGAACAGACAGGAAGTAGAAAGGAGGAAGCCCCTCTACCTGTGCGCCTGGCATGATTGACAGAATCAACTGGGGACCCGAAGATTGCACAGGAGAGGCACAAACAGGGACTGCCCACCCCAAGATGAAGACCGCTCTCCCTCCCTGAGGCAGGAGCAGGTGCTGCAGGAGGTCGAGAGCAGACACAGACTGCGAACGAGTCAGACAGCTCAGGCCGGCCCTTGTCCCCAAGCACCAGGGCAGGCACGTGTGCACGGTTCTGTAGTGCTGGACAGCATTCCTCGCTGTAGACATGCCCGCCAGAGACGGACAACAGGCCAGGGTGGAATCAGAACTCGAGAGGGGGCTGGGCATGCACAGAGTCTGAGAGCCCCTGCGAGAGATGGAAATGCCCCAGGCCTGTAGGAGCAGAGCCCTGCACGTGGGGCAGGCTGTTCACCTTTTCCTGGAGTCAAGATACTCAAATTCAAAGCCCAGTGACAGGTTGGGCATTTACTTAGAGAAAAGGCATTTTATCTTTGCCTTTGGTCCCTGGAAGGAGAGTTAAGTGCTCTTCCAGCACCTGTTCTCCCTCGTTCTCCCCTGCACGCCATTTTCAAGTTCTAAGAAAAATCTAAAAGCATTTCAAATGCTCTCCTGCACGCCCCAGCTCTCAGGAGGCACAGGACCACGTAGATGCAGGAGCCACCTTTTCTTCCATTTGAAGGGAAAACCACAAGCTGTTTTCCAGCTGAGCACACTGGAAAAACACCCATTTCTGGGCTTGGTCTGATCTTTGGTAACAAATGTCTTCCTGCACCACCAGGCA